TTTTTTTTATCACAATCATAGAATAACAAGCGTAAGGGGTAAATCCTTGTTCCTTTTTAACCATTTAGTACTTGAAATTTATCGATTAATTTTGATTTGGGCCTGTTAACAGGATAAAATATTTCATGTTTCTACGTTTTTAAGCCTCCACAAATTAAGAGTAAATGAATCACAACTATATCACCACACTCTTATATGGAATGTGATGTACAATCGGCGATTATTTACTTTTTGGTGAGGATTTTTTCATTTTTGACAAATATGTACAACAACAAACCATTGTAATTCCACAAATAAGGTATTAAAAAAATAGATATATATAAATTTTATCTTTATCGAATAGAAAAACTATTTTCAATAGAACTCAGCTCGAAACGAAAAACTTTTGAATATGGATAATAAGTCCAACTATGCAATTATATTTTAGTCGTGCAAGAATCAATCAAATTGCTATCGTTGATTATTGACGGCTCTTATTAGTCTTCTGAACGAACTCAAAAGCCACCTTAGAATATTCTTCTCTAACAATAAATTTGTAAATTCATTCTTTTAGGAAAATAAATATATATATTATGATAGTGATTACAATAGTCAATTTTAATTAGTACGTTTTTCTCAGTTTGCAGCTAATAAGCAATTTGAAGGGAAATGTTGGATTTTGATTCATTTGAATTTTCCTATATTATACTCTCTCTTTTAACTTTTACTTGTCCGCTATATTAACATATTAAAAAAAAGTAATTAAAATTTATAATCTCAATTAAAGAAAAAAAAAACATTCTTTCTGAATCAACTAAAAAGGAAAAAATGAATATGAGAAAAGAGGCCAAATATTATTTTTGTAGGGAAAAAGGTGGTTGGTTGGTTAGGTGCTAGCGTAAGTAAGTATGTTGGATGGCGACACACATGATCGATGCTCGGCTGAATATTTATGGCTACAAATTTGCCAAATCATTGGCAAAAAATTGTAAGGTAAACCGGTGGAGTGAGAAACAGGAGATTTCAAGAAACAGTAATACTGCCGCCGTTTAACTAAATGAAGCTTCTTGAATTTTAGCAAATTTGATCAACCAAAAATGGCATCTTTCCAGTTATTGAAGTCTCCATTCTCATTTCCTCAATCTAATTCTAGTCGTTTTTCCACTATAGTCCAAAGAAGGATTTTGGGTGTGAGATATCAAAGGAAAAATCCAATCTTGAAGACATTTGTTGATACAAAGTTTAGGGTTAGTTGTAGAATTCAAGACAACGAAAATCAGAGTAATGGTAATCTTTTATTTACTTGGATTTTGTTTCAAAAAGTTGGTTTCTTTTAGTGGTGTTTGATTTCATCTCTAGTATGTTTTTGCTGTTCAAGTTCCAATTTTTTTGGTTGATGGTGTGTTTGATAGAAAAGATATGTTATGTTACCTGTTTCATCACTCCGGAGTCAAGATTTTCACATGTGAGTGAGAATATAAAAAAGTAGACATACAAAGAAGTGAAGGGGTTCAATATCTACCATATATACATAAAGATATTTTTAACCATGTATAAACAATGTAATTTTACATCGAACTAGCTCTGCCAGCTAGCATGCTAGAGGGAAAACTTATTAAGTTCTCTAAGTGATAGTTAAGCACCAGGCTTTGAGAATGAGAAAGGTTGAATTATTGGTAGCAAGTTCTGATTAGTTAAAATGAATATCAGTTACTTGATTGAGGAAGGAGAGGTGACCCTCGACAAGGTTCAATTGATTGAACGTACAGACTGTGACAATCAAGAAAAAGGATAAGTATTTGAAGTATTTCAGGTAAAGAAGGAAAGTGTTAAACCGAGAATTTATACTGGACTGGCTATCTGGTGGGCTATCCTTCATTAGTAAATTCCATAGTGATTCAGAAATTTAACTTCTGCTGCCAAGTACATAAATACCTTAAGCTTGAATATTCTTAAAGAATGTTATCTTTGAAGTTCCAGTAGCTCTGGCTTCTCATTATAGAATACTTCTGAATGTAACTGGTGACGGTTGAATGACTGGATTGACTTGCGTCATGGCCATAGGCCAATCGCTCGAACTATCTGGAAGCTTCCAATTTCACTCCGTCTTAGAGCTCTTGTAGCTTTTATTTGAATATACTCTTTCTCTTTATGAAAAGACCTCAAATCCAATGTTGGTTCTCACAGGTGAAGAACCACCAGAGTCATTGTTTATGAAAGAGTTGAGAAGACGTGGCATGAATCCAACTTCATTGCTAGAGGAGACAAACACAAATATCAAAGAAGACGAGGAGACAAAATCTAGGGAAGAAGATGGAGGCTTCTATCGTAGAAATGCACTGTCAACAGATTCTGGAAGAAATTTGACTAATCAAAGGGAACAGTCTATGGCACTGAATAGTGAAGGCCTTGAGGTGGGCAGGTTTCCTCCTTATACATTATTTGGATTTTGGTTCTAAATGTTCATGTACAAGAATAAAGTCGTGCGATTGGTTCTTGACCTGATACGTTATGAGTCTCTCCGTCCACCTTAAATTTAACTTCCCATTTTGACTTGGCACAGTTTTTAAAAGAAATAACTTATTATATTAGCTTTTACCATTTCTTGACTTTGTGTTTTGAAGAATAAAATAGAGAAAATAGTCTATCGAGAAGTATCACTTGTTCTTTAATGGAGTAAGAGTGGACTGAGAAGTATGACTTACCAAAGGTCAAGTAGGACTTTTCAATTTTAGGACAGGAGTTCAGTTGTGTAAATAACTGTTCAAACAGAAATCTTATGAAAGATGTGCAAAGAGTCATTGGCTATATTATTTTGCATATTTTTTGGCTTCACATAATTTATATAGACACTATATGGGTTTGTAACTAATGACCATACGTCTTTATGTGCTATATTTGCAGGGTTTGATTCCGCGGGCAAAACTTTTGCTTACTCTTGGTGGAACATTCTTTTTGGCATTTTGGCCGTTGATCCTTGTAACTATTGCAGCTTTCTTGGCTTTATACCTGGTAATTGATTCCTGTGATCCTTGGTTTGCATCCTTATGATGTCTTTGTTATAAAGGGCCAATTGCAATTAGTTAATTTGTTTGTTTTACCTTTTTGCTAAAGCAAGTTTGTTGAGCTTCTTATCTTTGTTCTGGAATGACTTTTCCATAAACCCAACAAAGGAAAAAGAACCTTTTCTTTTAGCACATCCATGTATAGTTCACACGATATTGAGCTAAAAAGATTTTTGGAGGAAAGGGGTGTATCCCTCTTTTACGAACTTGCAGCTTAAATCTTATGTTGAATTAAAAGTTGAAATTAGGAAATTACTGGTGTTACCTGCTTATTGCTGTAACCATCATGTTACGAGGGATAGCCTAGTGGTTAAGACCCTTTGACCTTGGTTTTTGTGGACAGAAAAGAATAGGAGATATTTGGTGTATTAACTCTCAATCACTCTATAAAGGCTAGGTGCTTAATGTATCTGCTTAGCTGGCACAATATGTCCCCTGTAGATTCTCATGACAATTTTTTGAACTTTGTTAGCTCCCTGGTCCTAGGAAACCCTCTCATGTATTAGAGTTAACTCAGTTTTCTTTTTGGTGTGGTGAAAGAGACCACAACTGCATTTGAGTTATTTTGATTGTTCTTAGTATAAACAATTAAAGATGATCAGTTTCAGAAAAATATCCAGCAAAATGTGGCAAAACCAATTGTAACAAATTGTTATCATTGAATGCAATGTCAAACTGAAAAAGAGTTTCTGTTTATTGAATTTGGATGACAAATGATCATAATATGGACCTCCAGGAAAGTAGAGAACAAGCTAAGATGAGTAAAAAATTTCCAATAAAACATGTGACGAGTTAAATATACCTCAGGTGTTATTTGTTTTGGTCGAAGTTATTAGCCCGGTAATTCACGTGTTTCATATGGCTTTTTGGTATTATATTAGTCGCTAGATTATTCATGTTCTTAATTCACCATTGACTGTTTTCTTCTCTCTCGGCAGTATTTTGGACCTTCATTTGTCCATTACGCAACCAACAGATCGACAGATCCACCACCATATGTTGACCCTTATGTACTACTCGAAGAAGAGAGGATATCGCAGACAGCTCCACGTCTAAATTGAGTTGCTGCTTATTTCATGAAGTTATACTGTTCAAATGTCTTAAAGGTTTCCATTGCTTATCCTGAGTATATTCTCCTTATTATTTTCTGGTTTGACATTGCCATGATAGCTAGAAGATACTCATGTTGACTGAGAAATCTTATTTCTATGACTGTAAAATTTGTAAAAATGTGCAAGAGATAAGATTTCCCATTCTGTAACCTATACTGTATATTCTTTATATTGATCATAATCCCTTTGATGGGAAGTCCCCAGAAATTCTTTAGAAGTCAAGCACGTTATGATGCGAGAGTCTCAATTGGTATTTTTCTCCCCCCTCCCAGAATTAGATCTTGAAATAGATCTCATCAGAGTGTGACATTAAATATTGTTAGTTTCAAGTTGATGACATTTTAGAAAAAGGAGTGACTTTACAACTTGTGAATTGTGATACATCCCTAGCAACTTACCAGTGGTCCAGCTGCTTATGCTGTATTTTTCATCCAATATGCTTCAATGATTTTAGTGATTCTATGTACTAGATGGAACTTGAACTCGTAATGTCACAATTGTAGTATTAATGTCGACTTTACTGTTTAATAGATTTCAAATCCTTCTAGCAAGTGACTGAGAAGTACTTCAAATGAGCATCCAAATGATATTTAAGTTTAGAAAATCTAAAATCAACTCAAGGTGTTCATATGAATCCTTTAATGATATTTCTCTTATCCTAATTGCACAAATAGGACCAAGAGTAAAGTAGTTCATTATATCATTACCATACCTATACATACATAATTCTACCTGTGTGCAATAAAGCATGAACTTCATATCATTAGATTTAAATGAAACCTATAGCAACTTTTCTTGATAAGTAGTAATTGTATGAAAACTACAGAAATTCTGCAACACGAAATCTAGGAAATGAGTCTTAAAGATTGTAAAAGTTTATGCCTATAGCAATTTTGTAACACCAAATCTAGGAAATCAGTCTTACAATACACGATAATGAAATGTGTATGCCTTCGATTAGTGAAGGCAAACCATTCTGTATGTCACTAAAAGAAAAGGAAAGTTGGAGGAGGCTTTAGGGGAGGTGCTTGTCTTCCTTTCTTATTCTCTACACATTAGCCACAGGAACCTCAAGACCGAGATTGGAAGGGCTTGAATTCCCGGAGAGATTTGATAAGGCCTTGAACAGATCCAGCAGCAGCAAGAAGTGAGATAATCAGGCACACAAAACTCAATATATTCAACCAAATCCAGGTAAATGAATTTTTAGGAATCTTGGCTTGTGCAATGTACATTTGAATAGGGAAATAGACAGTGAGTGGCCAAAATGAGGCTGCTCCCAGAAGACCGACAAAATCATTGAAGAATGGGAATAACATGGCTAATATGGTTGTGAATACCACATATGAAGTTCTCCACACCAGCCTGTAAAAATTGAAATTGAACAACCCCAAAGGTGAAAGGTTGATCATGTATTCTTTTGTTATGAATTTACTTTGTGGCCATTTCTGTTTGCTCCAACCCTCTACAAATCCAAATAGAGGTTGACAGAACACCTGCAAACATATTATCAAACTAAGCTTTGCCATTGGGATTTATAAAATTGATCTGTTATGGTGAAACGCTAGATGTGTGCACCCAAGGTTATGACCTAGCAGCCAATGAAGTTGGATGAAGACTATGAGAGAACATTAGCCTAAGCCTTAGTAGATAGAGTTGCTCAGTGGTTGTGCTTTGAGGTGAAAGGTGCCTGTGGCCTAGTAGTCATTGAACCGGTTGAGAAACAAAAAGAAATTACTAGGAACTGGCATCCAAAGGGAGTGGCCTAGTAGTCAATGAACCGGTTGAGAGTCATGAGGTCTCAATTCCAGTGGAGACAAAAACACTAGGTAATTTACCAGCCTTGATGGACAGAGTTACCAGGTACTTGTTGCTAGTAGAAGGTGATAGGTATCTCGTGAAATTAGTCGACACCACGGTCATCAAAAAATAAAAACCTACTAGGGAACGTGATTTTGATGTTCGATGTTACCTGGTAAGCTCCAACGAGATGAACCACAATGCATACATTAGCGAAATCAACAAGCCAGAAAGGTTCATAGAATCCAAATCCTGTTAGAAAGTTTCCAGGCGCTTTGTTTCCAAATGCAGCATACCCTAGAAGTCCACATAGAGTGTAAAATATTGTTGACACAGAGATACCAACCAATGCAGCTTTCTTCATGGACTTATTTTCTGGTGGATGGGATTTCAAAGTGTCCTGTTAAAGTTGAGTTGCCAAAAACATGTTAAGATTTAAGTGGACTGGAAAAGTTTAACAAACTGAAAAAAGTAGTTAATAAAAGAAAGGTTGTTTTGCCTGAATTTCAATAAGAACAGTAGAGAAAGCATAGGCAAAGGCAATATCTCCAAGAGCAGAGAAGGTGTTCCACATCTTGTCTGTGCCTGATACATCTTTTCCAACTGATGTCCCTGTTAAGCTTGTGTTTGCACTTACTCCATCCTCTTTCCATATCAAATTACAAAACCATTAGGTAAAAGAAAAAAAAGAAGAGAAAACATGTGTGTATGGTATGATCGAAAACGTTTTCTTGAAAAATAAGTGATTTTTTTACTTATTTTCTTGTGTTTGCTACTAAGCAGAAAATATTGTCCTAATAGATTTCATTTATAATCTACACATAACTATGAGGGTGGAGATGAGACAACAAGTGTGTGGCGTCACTAGCGAAACTTATTTTCTTAGAGCCAATTTTTTTTAACAAAGAAAACATGAAGATCGAAAAATATTTTCCTCCGTAACAAACACACTAAAAAGGTAAAAAGAATATTGAAAATGGTAAAACTAACTTGCAATCTTGGCAATGGAGAGACCAAGTCCAATGAAAGAATAAGCAAATGACATAACAGCAGCAATGATGGAAAGGAATGAAAGCTTGTGAAAATTTGGGATTTGGCATAGAAGGATTTGCATAATCCCAAATAAAATTATGAAGGGATTGTTTGACTCATGACAACCAGCATCATGACCTTTCCTATGAAAGCAGTTGGATCTTTTAATTGCCCTGATAAATAAAAATACAGAATTAATCATTAGGAATTAGGATTAAACACAAAACAGAAAAATGTAATACACAAATTAATTTCTTACACCATGCTTATGGATGTGGTGATTGCATATCCAATGGTAACACCAAAAAGGTTACTATATTGAGCTAATCCACAAAGCTGGACTTTCCTTCCTCCTGCATTCATACAAAATATTTTAATAGGTTAATCGCGCATTCAAAATTTTCACTAAAGAGATTTCATTACAAAGTGAAAATACAATGCCTAAAATTTGAAACTGAAACCTCAAGATCGATTTTGAACCCTCTAAACCATCGATTCAACCTCTAAGTCTTGTATTCCAATTAAGTGCATCTTTGGCTACGTTAATCGAAAAGAGAAAATGACAATAACTCGTCTTCAGAACCACTATGGTGGTTAAAATATTACTCACTTAATTTCATTACATTATTTCTTTATTAGTTCATTTAAAAAAGAATTAAATATTTTTATATTTGGAAACAGTTGATTTTAACACTACATATTTTACCTTGATGAAAAGTGTTTCTTAACCGCGTAAATAATATGAAACGTTTAAAAATATAAATTTCAAAAAATTTATTCCCCCATCCACCCTTATTTTTTATGTTAATTCAAATTTTGTCACACAAATTGAAAACCGGCAAAACTCAGAAGTTGAAGAGAATTGAGGTGGCAAAATACAGAGAGAAAGATATAAGGAAAGAAGATAAGTAAATCATTAATGAAATGTTCCAACAAAAACAAAACAAAAATGGCTTTTATGTAAAGAATAGTCATTAATGATTCACAACCAACAACCTCCTTCTGTTCTTTTCTTCTCCTGGGAAATTGACAATGGAACACAGCTATATGTTCCATTCTTGAATTACCCTCCAATGTGTGAACTGAATTACATCTATTCACACAAATCAGTGTAACCACAATGTGGTGGGGGTATAAAAAGAATAAGATCTACAATTTAAAAGAGAGTGTTATTTTTATTCATTAGTCATATTTTACGTGACACTTCTTTTAGTTTTTTCTAAGTGATTGTTATATTTTACATTTATAAAAACGATTTAATTTTATTATACCCACTTAACTCTTAATGATATGACTTTATAAATCCACTTCATATAAAGAACACACCACTTATTTTATTGTTGGTAATAAGGGTATTTTGGTAATTTAATTATATCTTGCTTACAAAAGTCTTGTTTTGTTTTATAAAAACTCCTATTCAACAATTGATTAAATATCGTCACACAAAATAAAATGAAAGCAATATAATTTATTTATTTTTCTCTTTAACACTTTAAATTACGTATTAGATTTTGTGCAACTATGACCACGTGACATTTTACCATTGACTACAATCAATTCAACTTGACCTACAAATATATTGTCAAACCGTTACAAATCTAACTTAAATAAGATCAAACCATTGATGTTTTAACTCAAAAAAATAATCAATGAATATTTTACATGAATCACAACTAGTTCAACTCGAAAATGGATCTCAAGTTGGACAACAAAATATCCACATATAAGTTAAAAACTTTTTACCTCGATAAATGTGCATCTCAAACTTAAATGTAACACATCAACACACACAAAAATTAAATACGTTCAAACATAAGATTTATGATGTGTTGGAAACGAAAACAACACAAACCATCGTAATTTAATTATATAAATATTATTATTTTTTATATTGTGAGTATATATGCGTACCTAGATGGGCTCGAACAGCATCCATATAGGTGTAGCTACGAGAGCCATCGGGGGCGCGATAACAATCGGCAAGGAGGAGAGAAGTGAACCATGTTATGGCTGAGAAAGCAATGAGAGCAACTGGTCCTGCTATCCATCCCAATTGGGCTGTAGCCCATGCCAAAGATAACACTCCTGAACCTATCACTGCTGTTATGATATGGGCACTTGTAGTCATCACCGTTCCTACAAATTTAAACAATTAAAATTATAACAATGATGTCGGGATCAACTTGTATACATGCACCGTAATCTGGTACATGTTATAACCACTAACCATAGGTACCGTATAATCGTAATACTGTTCAGTCAAATCAGAAGAATTCACATATATAGTCAATTCCCATTTAATCTCATTTCCCTTTTCTATATTTGGAGAAAATCAATCATAACAGTGATGTCTGAATCAACTTGTATATATACACATCCATCGTAAGTATCGATTTAACGCTATTAATCAACAAGATTTAGACAGATGAGAAAGAATTCACATACCCTATCCACATTTCTTTGTGTTTTTTTCTCTAATTTTTTTCAAACAATCTTCACCTACACCCTTTTAGTTACTTTTTTTTCAAAAAAAAATTCCTAATCCTTTTTTCCTCTTTTATGTGATTGAAGATTCCCCTTATAAGGGAATTTTTCATGAATGCATGTGGAAAAAATAGATTTGCATGATATATATAAAGAAAAATGACTTTAGAAATTCCAAGAATAGAGATCTAGTGATAGAGAAATATTTATTTAGTAAAAAAATAAAAATAAAATTGTGTATATATTCAAACCAGTTCGTTTGGGGCGTCCATCATCATCAAACTTGGAAGAATCATCAATGGCTCCACCCATAGAGACATTAAAACTCCCCTCCATTTTCTACTCTCTTTTAATGCTAAGTAGTAGAAAAATTGGACACATAAAGATAAGTGGACAAAGCCAATGGCTATATATTTATAAAGAGTTTTGGACTGACAACTCACACACTAAAAAGATTCTACTCCCTCGGGTTTTAATTTATATGACATAGTTTGGATTATTTTCAAAAGTCAAACATTTTATCTTTTACTATAAATTTTGGGCATAAAATCTTCAAAAAATTTAAAATAATATTTAAAAGTATTTTAAGTCGTAAAATTAGTAATTGAAAAGATGTATAAAATTTATAGTCAAACATAAATTTATTTGAATCTTGAAATTTGAAAGTTGCCATGAATGGAGTAATAAATTATTACATTTTTTTAGTGATGTAATAAATTGGAATTATGACGTGAATTTTTTTTTCTTTCAAGTTTTTCTATAAATCATGTTGTAAATGGGATAGCTAACTCGATTAAAATCAATATGTACTTCTTTTACTACTTTTGGACTGGTATTTTATTTTTAAAAATTCTTCTTTTCGTATGTCAAATAGTCGAATGATGATTGATCAGGAGCTGATTTACGGTGACGTGTATAGTTAACTGAGGTGATATATTTTATCTGTTTTTATCTAATATAATAAACGGATGATTGTGAATACGAATAAAAAAAATTTATAAATAAGTTTGAAAATGTCTAGTAAAATATTTTATCATGTGTTCGATTATATAATTCAAAGAGTTCGAGTTTCTAACATCTTTTGGAGGCTAAAAATCTTTTATTTTTTCCACAAAAGGTTTATTTTCAAAAAGTGAGGTGTTCGACCAGATTTTTGGGAAGTAGATTTTCATAAGCTAAAAAAATATTTTTTTTAAAACTTGCTTATCATTGTTCAAAAGTATTTTTTTTAATTGGTTAGCCAAATAAATATATTTTTGAAAAACACTTTTCAACGTAAATTGATTTTAAAATTTTGATCAAATATACTATAAATAAAATACGTATTGATATATTCAGCTATTTTTAAAAATGGTGTAAATATAGCCCTTAAAATATTGCTCTTCAAAAATCAAAATAATATATACAGTATTTATTTATACATTATTTGACCTTATAAACAAAATATTTGACTGTCGTTTTGACCATCTGAAAAAAACAAGGTCAACCGGTCAAAATTTAAAGATGATTAAGAACCATCCAAAATGCGGGTTAAGCACTAACCAAAGTTCTTGGTCTAAATTAAGATGCTTTGCCACTGTTTTAATTAACAAATCCAAGAATAGATCATTTACTCATGGATGCTACTCTATAATTTATTGTTATAAAACTTATTAGTACTTAGAATCTATAATTACTTGTGGCCTGTGGGGATTATATATATTATATAATCAGATTGTGTTAATTTATTTAAAGTAAGTAATTATGTTACACTATATGTGCAAAGGCAAAAATAAAGTAATCTTTCCGTTCATTTTACTCGTTTAACTTTTAACATATCAAAAAAAGATAATTATCTTTTTTTTTTATGTTTTACCCTTATTATTAATAATTTATTCTCCGAATCATTATTCAAGACCTAATACTCCATCCGTTCACTTTTACTTGTATATTATTTCAAAAAATAGACTTTTACTTTAGTTCTCATTTTTAATATATCAAGAAAAATAATTACTATGTTTTTCATGTTTTCATCTTAACATTAATTTGTTATTCTCCAAATCATTTTTCAGTAATACTAAACACCAATTGATATAAGTATTATATTCTAATAAAATACTCATTAAAAAAAATGTTTGAGCCTCTTATTTTGATTTCTCCAAGTGAGAGAATGTTTTTTAACATTCTATATAAACATCAAAAGTACCTCATACCTCATTAATTATCGTTCGTAGTGGACTTCTTTTTCTTTTTATCCAATATTTCCTTCATGTTAGGGGTGTCTCCTTAATTGGTGCAAATAAGAGAATTGAAGTCAAAGCATATATACCTTAAAACACAAGTAATATGTCTTAATTAGAATCATATCCACCGACAAATGTGCATCTCTAAATTCAAACTTTATTTCATTTCATAATAAATTACAGCACAAGGGGAAACAACAAAGAAGCTCACTTTGATTTCTTTTTTCTAATTATCTTTTCTATATATGTTCTTTATTTATATTTAATATAAATATAAAAGTGACATGCTCATGTAGTTTTAATTTAGAATATTTCCAATTAGAAAAGAGCTGATTAATATATTCTTATGTACTAGTTATAACTTATAAATTCATTTAAAAAGGTAATAATCTGATGTGAAAGAAAAATTAAAGGATAAGAAACAGCATAAAATCCTGCCATGCACTTTAAAGATCGTGTATTCCACCCTCCCTTTTTTTTCCCAATCATATATTGTCAAACCTCTTTATAATTGTATTATTTATTCAAACATCTTTTGGTATTATAGGTAAACATTATAGAGAAAATATAATATAATTAACATGAAAAATCGATATTGAAAATTTGAACGTTATAATGAAATAGTGTTATAAAAAGATCAGACCGGATTATCTTGTTTCCATCTTATTTCCTTTGAGTTGATCAAGGACATATCCCTTAGATAGCGCTGTGTATTTGTTATAACTGCTTTCGGCATAAACAGTTACTTATTTTAACTGTTTTGTGTAATGTTGAAAAGTACTTTTAACTTAACTTGTACAACACTCTCAAATGAAGCTTAAATTTAGAGTAATATTGGAAATTGCTTTTGGTTTTAAAACTTAAGCCTCACTTTTGGAAGACAATTTGCTTATTATCGAATCTAAGATAATGTTTTATGTTATGTTAATTGCATATAAATGAATTCTCCTAAAGATCAAGAGAAATATTTATACATAATTTCCATTAAAGAATATTATATCTATTAATCATGTTCTCCTCGTCTACCGCACATCCAAACAAACCCTTCATTAAAATCTTATTATTATTATTATTAATTAGTGTTGTTGTGGTGGACTGGTGGTGATGGTTTGATTTTTATTATAGTTATTATATTAGTAGTAGTATAGTTTTGTCTTTATTTTACAAAAAAAATCCTCTCTTTTTTCTGATTTAACAAGCTCCATTCTCTTTTGGTCCTAATAACTTCTATTTAAGCCCATTGGCCCATCAAAAAAGGATGCAACCTTCGGCCTTATAGCTCGAGTTAAGCCAGGTCGAAATGGGACCCAATACTGATCCAATTCTTCTTACAACTTACAAATTGGGAAAGTTGTTGCTTTTTTATTGGAAGAATTACCTAAATACACAATTTATTTTACCACCTATTCAATTCCCTGCTATTTGAAAAAATTACCAATAATTAGCGTATTGTCATGATTACTTATAAACACAATAATTAGCTGACAAATACTAGGACAGGGCACAGGTAACATTGAGAATTGTTGATAGATGCATCAATGGAGGACTAGATTTCCGTAGAATCGACACTGATGGAGTCGGAACCAGCAGGGCCAGTTGGTGAATTGTGGTAACAGCCTCGATGTTCCTCTGCTTTCTGTAGTTGACCAAAATTATATCTAAAACATAACATGGCAAGCAGTACTAGTGTTTCCTGGACGTGATCAAAGTCCTTTGGGGCACCTCCTGTGCATCATAAGCAAAATAAATATGTAATACCAAGTAAATAAACGTGCACTGCTATGCTACATTTCTCTGGATTGGTGCTCCATATTAATAGTGTTTAAATTTTGTGAAGTAAAGTTGACGTCCTAGTTACAATCACAGTCCACATAGACCTAAGACAGCACAAATGATCCAGCTTCGACCTTGTGGGATTTCATTCAAAGGGCCTTAACCCAATTATTGTGTTAGGAAATTTTTTGTTTCCGAATAAAATCAGAGTTGCCATCATTGGACATTGCAGTTCCTCAACTTGTTGTTATCTCCATGAGCTACTTTCCAGTCCAGCAGGAATAATACTATGGGATCTCATTGTCCAGCCAGTTAACTTGCAGGTTGCATTCCACTCCACGCGCGACCATCATCATCATCTGTTCTAAGGTTGCGATTATTTTGTAAGTATGATATGCCTGTCCATACTCCTCGAATAAGTAAGATACTAGCAAAAATTACACTCCCAAGTGTGCAAAATACCTGCAAACCATAAAGACCATAGTAAGGGAATATTAACTGCAAAGAGGAGTCATCCAGGCTAAGGGTACTAACAAGGGTACAAAGATGAGATGGGGCACACTCATTTCATACTAATTGCCGAACAGACTCAATTAACAGAGAGAACTGTATAATTGATCAATCAACAAAGAGAGGGACCTACACTGCGGAAAATGTTGAAGTGAAAACTGAGTCGTAACGACAAATAGGTTTATGCAGGATTACAATTGAAAATTTTCTCATGCTGCCGAGGATAAGATGAAGTAACACAAATTTTGTAGCAGGAATCCTTCTTATTTGGGTTTAAAGCATTCCTCGGATGATAGACACAATAATGAGCCCAAGATTTTATGTTATAATAAGCAATCAACAATTTGAGTCTTCTAAACCGTATTATGATGCTATTGGCAGTACAAACAAGTTAATCTTTTTTCCATAATCTGTCTGCTAGTACAAAACTGTATACTCCCTCCATCCCAATTTATGTGAATGTATAGCATGAAATTTAAGAAAAAGGGACTTTTGAAACTTGTGGTCTCAAAACAATCATGAGAAATTTCTTTGGCCGTAAATCATTTCATTAAGGATAAAACGTGAAGTTTAAAATCATATTGTTACTAAAAGTATATAGAAAGATGTCATTTTTTTTGGGACTTACGAAAAGGAAAGAGTATCACATAAATTGGGACGCAGGATGTATAATGCAGCGAGCACAAGATTCATTCAACTTGAAAGAGTAAAAAAGCTGAATCATTCAAAATTTAGAAGAGCTAAATGCATTAATTGAAGTCTGACATGTCCACCGAACGTGTCTCAAAAACAGACAGATTAGAATAGAAAGTACATTACACAGTAAAGTACCACATATCACCTTATCACAGAAAATAAGTGA